ACTTTTCTCTCAAAGCACATAATTAAATTCAGAAACTTGTTGCCAGAAGTTACCGTGAAAGCTAAGACGATAAAAGTTTTGAAATGGGACTGACAAGCAGGTGGAAGATATATACATGGCGGTCCAAAGGAAAGATGCAGTGAGACCTTTGCTCTTACACATTGTAGATCTTCTGTTTGAGTGTATATATCGAAATATTAATGAGGATGAAATTCAAGTCTTTCAGTGCTTTTATAAGCAAAAAAATAGCTTGCCCAATAAAAAAAAACACAACAGAATAATTGAGAGGCTGAAGTCAAAGGAATATGTTGTCCCACTTTTTATTCCCCAGACATACTGAATTACTAGCTCAATCGCTTTCTACTGTATGTATAATTGTGGCAATAAGAACTGCTTTGACCATCCACAGCTGCTGATTCATGCTGATTTCCATATTGCTTTGCCAGATAATTGATACATAACACATTATAGCTCTGAATATTTCAATTAATTGAATGAGTGTCTTTAGATTTGCAAATCAGGATATTTTGCCCAGGTACTTTATTTCAAATAGGGCTGCAAATTACCAGATGCTGCTGTTTCCATTAAGAAGATTTCCCAGTGATGTTGACTTCTCTCACCCACTCAATGTAATGTTGAACTAAGTCTTCTGCAGTGACATCCAGATGTTTTGAACTCCTGCTACATAGATAACAGCTGTGTCATCAGTTTGATTATGATGGACCACATCCTTTCTCAACCTCACCTAAATCAATGCAGTTATTACCTAAGCTTTGCAAGTGGAATCTGTATTTTTGGGTTGAGCATCATGAGTTTGACAGCTGGCTCTGCTTACTAGTGATTAATGACTAGTATTTGCACAAAGGTAAACAAAAATTCTTAATAAATTGGAAGAGAGTGAAAATTATCTGGGTCCCATTACCAAAGAAAGGGTATAATATATCCAGCCAGAATGTGCACTTCTAAAGCACTAAGCTCACCAATTACAATACAGAAATGACAACAGCTACAGGCATTAAAGCTTGTGCCTTTGCTACTGCACGAGACAAATGTTTGAGCAAACTACATGTCTTGCCTTTGTGCTGCTGCATATAAACTCTTTGTACCCAACTTCCTGCTTTATGAAGTGTTTTCTTGACATTAATAATAAACGTTAAGAAAAATGAAAGTAGCAGCCGTATTCACTCAGCAAAGTAGCATGCGCATATTTAATAGCCCATACCTTTACCCAATTCAAATATATTGAATTTCTCTAAGTCTGATTTCTTTAATTATATTACAAATCTAAAAGACTTTTTATGTTATCAGACACTAATTATATTAGACAGATTGCTATTCATCTACTTACAGCAATATTTATTTCCACTGTCATCACTTAACATCAAAACAGTATTACTTCATCATCATTTAGAGTGGAAAAAATACTACTTTTCCGTAAATTTTGTGTCTAGGTTGGTCCAGCTAAAGGCATGAGACACTCTTTGCTTGGTTTGTATAATTAATGTGTATAAATACTTTGCTTACTTTTAATCTCTAAATATGATAAACTATACGTTCCATTTTTGGGCAAGCTTCTCTCTATGCTAAAGCCGTCTAAATCTTCTCTGAGTTAGGAAGATAACTTCAGAAATGGAGAGAACTAGTAGATTGAGTCCCACTGAGAGAGGGCTTCATAAGGGAAAAAAAGGAACAGAAGCCATATGAAAATTTTACAACCTTAATAAATAGAAAGACTGAAAATCCATCAAAGCAGAAGTGAAAAAAAAAAGGAAAACATGTAGAAAAAAATATTCACAGTATGGCTAAGAAAAGAAAACGTGTGGATCAAGTTCCACACCCCTTCTACAGAGGATTCCCCTGACATCCTCTGCATTTTTACACAAGCTTGCCTGGAAAAACTGAATCAGCCATGGTATCTAACTTTGGGCACGTGCTTATCATTGTTTCTCTCCATCACTGCAATTCCTCTGGGCTCAAGAGTTTCCTAGAAAAACAGTTGTTTAACAGCTGTGGAACTGGACTTCCAGAAGCTCCGTTAAGACAGTGGCTACTAGCACTCAGGGCACTTATGCCTGACTCCTTACAGGTGACCTGGTAAGTCACCTTTTCTAGACCTTACTTCCTTGACCTGTGATTTAAGACTCTCTTGTGAAGAAGTTCTCTTCTCATGAAGATTTCTCCTCCCTCCTCTCCTTTTCCCTCCCAAATCTTTGTGAACATACCTCCCCTTACATTAAATCTGGCATGTACTTGTATTAGAAAACTAATAATTCAGGTAAGAAGGTATACTTACATGATAAATCAGCTGTAACAGAGGAGTAGGACAAAAAATTACCTCAACGCATTGGGCACAGGGGAAGGGATGAGAAATCAAAGGATGGCCCCAGATACATTTAGGAAGATATAGGAAAAAAATACATCCTCTATTAAATGGAAGAATGCATCTCAGAAAAAGGTTAAGAAGTAGGTTTGCTAGCCCCCAGAGAAAGAGAGGGAAAGAAAGAGAGAATAATGTATAATTTTAGGAGGATTATGTTTCACTAGAGACATTCATGAATGTAATGAGCTAAAGAAGGGGTAAGACACTGCTTAAATTGAACTATACAACTGATTCTGCTACACTTGATAAAATAATTGTGTCAGTCTCTTCTGTACTTAAAAAAACTTAACTCTGAAATGCAGTAAGTTGTTATGCGCTAAACATCATCACATAGTCTGTCACACTGCTCTCATTGTTTCACAAAACTCAGAAGCACCTGACATTTACCTTCTCTATTCCTAACACTGGAACTGCAGAAATGCAATTAGGAAAACAGTGATGCTAATAACAGAAAAGGTCACCAATGTGCAAGCTAAACCTGATAACATGCCTGATATGCTGCAAAACATAACAGAATGCCTTCCTGACAATGAATGATTTTACAGACTGCTGTGAAGTTGTTACAAGATAATCAGATCAACAGGGGGCGTGCCACTATGCAAAAGACATACAGGAGATCGTGAAATACTCTTTGATAGAGGTGTATTGCAAAGTCATCACTGACAGAAAAATCTACCATTATAAAAGGCCATGATTTCAGAAATAACCACCTAAATAAATTGGGCAGGAAACACAAGCAACAGAAGTTTCAGTACTTGGTAAGCACAGAAGCCATTGGCTCATGAAAGGCAGCGCACTTTGTGCCTGAAGCCAACAACCAATAACCCACCACCTGCAGGATGTAAAAGATATGTTTTTTTTCTTTTTCTTTTCTTGCACTAATCAACATAAGTCCAGGTTAGAATGTTCAGTTTTTCTGATTGTCTTTAATACAGAAATATGTACACAGCAGTACAGGCTCTATGCTCCTCATGAACAGATCTGCTCCTTACTTGTGCCACTAAATCCTACATAACCGGATAGTGAAATTCAAGAAAAATGAAAAGTAATAAGGGGTTCTTTTGATAAATGACATTTCATCAACAGTCCCAGTAAATAGCTCATTACTGAAAACTGAAAGTAGCACTTAATAGAAGCTTTCTCCCAGACAACTAAAGGCAGTTTAAACCTTTAGTAAAAATGATTTGAGATCTTACAAACACCAAAGAAACACAGATTTGTTTTACCAGAAATCATCACAGAAAGGTTAGAAAGGGCCTTAAAGATCACCTCATTACACCCCCCCCCCCGCCATGGTTTTTCAAAGCCCCGTCCAACCGGGCCTTAAATACTTCCAGGGTTGGGCACCTACAACTTTGAGACAACCTGTGTCTCACCACCCTCGCAGTAAAGAATTTATTCCTAATGTCTAATCTAAATCTCCCCTCTGTCAGTATAAAGCCATTTCCCCTTGTCCTATCATTGCATGCCCTTTTAAAAAGGCCCCTCCAGATTTCTTGTAGACACCCCTTAGGTATTGGAAGACTCTTATAAGGTCTCTCCTGAGCCTTCTCTTCAGGCTGAACAAGCCCAAGTCTCTCAATCTGTCTTCATAGTCACTTGCTGAGGGTGCACTCGTGAGCAAATAAAATCTATATAGTCCACATGTCTATTTATAGACTAAAATTTGCATCAGATTTTATAACTATCAATAAAATGAAAAAAAGATGTATTTAAAAAAAAAATAGAGAAAAAAGTACCATCATGAGCTACAGTGGAGCTTTCACCTCTGTATTCACTTAGGTTGCAATTCAAATTACAGAACTCATAATTTTCCAGGAATTATCACAAACATATCTGTGGTAAGAGAACCTTATGTTTTCAGACTGGTAGATCCATATTGCAAACCTGTATTAAAGGCAAATGCAACTTTACATCATAGCTTCTTCTATACCTGAGCTCTATCAATTTATTTCATAATCAGTGTCAAAGCCAGCTATTCTCTTCATGTGACACATATTGTTGCCTAATTAAGGAAATAAAATTAACTGTAATTTAATGTAAACCTTCATAAATTTTGATTTTATTAGAAGTAAGCTGAATTTAGGACATGACGTATTTTTGAGGACTGACTGTAACGATAGGCCAGATAATTATCAGCTAACTTTTAGAACATGAATTTTCTCAGTTGCAGGCTATAGCACATGTGAAGAAAAGTATCTGATGTCCTGTCTTTCATGGTCTATGAAAAAAAATAAACCTCAAGCCCCATCTGTCTGGTATTTCCACATTTCCCTTCGTATACCCTTTTGGAACCAGCTTTATCTGAACACCGTGTGCCTGAGGCAAGTATTTATAAAACAGTACCAATATTCTGCAAAACATTTTTACAGGTGCTTACTTTGCAAAAAGTTCACAACATCAGTGAATATATTTTGTTTAAATGGTAGGAAGAGAGGCTTGCCAATAAAAGGAACTAAACGTACTCCCCACAGCTACACGATAGCATCAATAAAAGTGCAATTAAACTTCCAGCTTTTCTTGCTATTCTTTTGGTAATGCTCATAAGCAACTAATCGTATTGTCTCGAAATGGTAGGTATGCATAACATGCACCAAAGAACTAATAAGAACACACTCACCATGTACTATCAGGACGTATTCTGTGCTGTTTCGGCCAATAGGATTTTTTGCTTCACATCGATACGTGCCATTGTCTGTTTTGTTTAGGAAACTGATGCTTAGGACCCTGCCATTGACAACCATTCTCTCTGGATCTGGTAGCTCTCCGCCATCCTTTGTCCACAGTACTGGTTCTGGCCTGTTGGATCCAAAGCAATGCATTTGATCAGATACACAAAACTTGTATATTCAACATACGCATCAGAAGCAGCAGCATCATAAACTTATGAATAGTAACTTGACATTAAAGAAAAAACAATGATCATTTGAGTTACTGGATATAATAAGCTGTCACTATGGCAGGGGGATTGGAACTAGATGATTGTAAGATCCTTTCCAACCCCAACCATTCTACGATTCTATGACAACCTTACCATTTCGGATGGGAACTACTAAAATGAAATAACAAGCAAGGAAAGGAAGAGAAACAGAAAAGGAAACAGAATGGTACTGGATCAGACCAAGATCTTTCCTAAATTAAACAATAATTCCTGCAAGGTTTCAGGGCCCATAGTTTGGCAAGATGCTTGGCAGGCTAAGTGAAAACAGCTTTCCATTTGCGGGATGAGTGATATGGCCCTGTGTGTCTGACAGGCATCAGAAATCATGCAAGCAGGCAGAGGTAGATGCAAGTGGTTTGTAAATGGATTCTAAAATTATTTAGGCCATTCGTAAGTGCACTTGCATGTGCTGAGTGTTTTTCCTGAACCAGGCATATCGGTCTCAAAGTAGCACATCTTACACACAATCTAAATTTATTTGTGTTGCTGCACTGTGTCACAGCCCGTCCCTTTTTCCACCCTTTCTGCACCCTTCCCTCAAATAATCGCTTGTTCTGCATGTTATCACAAGCAATATAAGATTTAACTTAAAATCCTGGATTTGCTTCTTCTGTGAAGCCTTTCCTCGTGCCTTATGGACTTGTATCAGACAAGCCAAAGGCAAATCACTGACAGCAGTAATGCCCTAGGCAAGTTAAGGGTGATAGAGAAGGGAACTGACTGTCTTGCAGATTCACACATGCCTTCGCACTGGCAAGTGATACCTAACTCTTTCCTAAGAACTGTCAAGAAGCTCCACAGTGCCTAAGATTCACCTAACAGACAACAGGATGTATTTATTACTGGTATGCAGTCTTTACTTACATGTAGTAAGATCTACTTTCAAATCTACATGAGGGAAATCACCAAAAAGACAGGTTCGTGACTGGAGTGAAAAACTGGCTTACTGAATCCTGTCTGTCTCACAGATAGAGCATCTCAGGCCCTTAGATACAAGTCACTTAGGCAATATATATACAGCCTGGAGATTCACTATTACATTACTTGTACCTTGGAAGCTCTGTACACTACAACCAGATATCAATTCCTTTCTTTCAGGTACACTACTTAAGTATTTTCAGTCAGAAGCAGTTCTGGATTTGCACATATATTTGGTAGGAGAGTATATTATTATATTTTCCTATTGAAGTATGCAATTACATGACTAAATAATAAAACAAAATAGAAAACACTGTTATAAAATCAGCAGATGCCAAATCAGTTGCTAGTCTTACTCAAGAAATACTTAGTTTTATGAATTTAAGCAGGTTTTTAAAGCCTATTAAATATAATAGGTGTTAAGAATAAGAATTAAACATAAGCATCTAAGGAGAGACATTTTGCCAAGACATGGACTCATGCACAGAAAACCAGTTTTAATGATTTCCATGACATGATTTTATGTTAGGCAAGGCATGCAAACAAAATATTTTTTTCTGAAATGCACTTGCTGCTATATAATTTATATTACTTTTTGAGGTAAAAATACTGTAACTTATGTTTCTCTTGAAAGATAAGGGCAATTTATACATATTTTAGCAATATTTGGATGCCACCTTGTTAAATTGTTGCTGAATTTGTTACCTAGACTGGCCTAGAAAATCAGCTACTCAGGGAACAAAACAAGATTCACACAATTTTAAACCAAAGATTATGAGCTGTCTATTTAATGGGCCTTATTTATACTTTACTGTAAATATGTCTTAATTATCTTCCTAAGTGCGCTTTCACAAACTGGTGTGTAAATACACCTGACACACAACATACACACTTCGTTTCTGCTTAATGTGAGCAGGGAATCTAGATGTCCATGCTGTTGCAGGAACATTGCCCTACAGAGTTCACAACATTAAGGAGCAATTTGCTTTGATACGTTAAAGTGGATTTGTTCAATTTTCTACCAAACTCCTCATTGTTTCCCATTTACCAGCTTACTGTGAATCTGTAATCCCAGAAGTGGAAACTCTGAAACACTTCTGCTGCAATGTGCACCATTACCTTCATGAATGGCATGTTAAAGCAACTTCTGTGCAGTGGTAATTTATGGAACTTACATTTTAAATTGAAATTAGATGGCATATCCTAGGGAAAAACCCATAGGATAACAAATACATATGAAATGGAGCTTTAGATATAAATTATTCAGGGAGCTTTGTCACACAGTAATATACCAGCTCCGGTCTTATAGAGAGTGCTTAGCTACTGTTGAGAGATGATGGTGGCAGAAAAATCAGGGCTTAAAGCGAAGGCACATCTCCATACTCTGCATATTGGGGAAGCTGCTAATTAACAGTTAATATTAAGCCATCCTGTGCTGGCTTAGTGGCAGCAGCAGAGCAACTTCTGGGCAGCCAGCCCATAGTCAACACACCATGGTGGTCAGGCACAGCTCTCACTCCATCGCACCGCTCTGAAGGAGGATGAAGCCTGAAGCAGCAATTCTGTCACAGCCACAGAATTAAATTTTGCCTGCACTGCTGGGAGGCTGAGACATTCCAGTCTGAACAATTCATTAGTTAGGCAGAACTGAGATAAGAACATGAGACATGCTCGTGAACCCAGGCCAGCATGCTGCTGCGGTCAGTGACACGGACAGCATGTGAGCATGGCTCTTTCCTGTGGTCCGTTCCCCTGTACTCTGCCAGCATCCACAATCATTCTATAGGAGATGTCGGAGGGCACATCTATTGTTCTCCTTTGTACCTACTTAGTATTTAGACCTTTTGCCCATGAACGTCTCTAGTATCTTTTTGAATCTGCTTATACTGTCTGTCAACCCAGCCTCCTGTAGCAATGAATTCTGGAAGCTCCCTACCCACTGTGCAAAAACTTATTTACTTTTCTCTCTCTTACATCTCCTAGCAGTGGCAATGACTATTGCAGGATATGGTAAGTAATGCTTCTGCATATTGTAACCTTGTTATACATTATTATAGCTCTGTACTTAGTGGGCTTCTCTCTGTCCCTCTTTCTATGAATTTGATAACTTCTGAGACTACTGGCAGGGAAAAAAAAAAAATCACAAGAAAAAGGGTAAAGAAACCATAAATTTAGAGCATATTGGCTATCCCTTAATAATTGCTTTAATAACTTCATTGTTCACAAATGTAGCTATAGTGTTGATGGGAAAGCTTTCATTTTGCGACACAAGGCACAGAGAAGTGTGTATTCCCCACAGTTTACCCTATTGAATCATGGGTGCCATATCGTTACCATATTGTTCATGGGTGCAGATCCAGGCAAAGGTTCTTTATCTTACTCAACATTTTGAAGTGGTTCTCTCAACTGGGGTATATAGGTTTGACATTCTAAAACACACGGTAAGTATGCTCACTGCTAACATTGCACATTTTTCTCCACTACATACATTTCCAATACTGCAGAACTTCAGCTTTTCTTCACATACTAAATAGTTGCCAAAATGCTGTTTATCACTGTGTGAGCTGGAACAAAGGCGGTATCCCTGTGCCCTGCATTTGTGCTTACTTCTACATTGAATCACACCACTTCAATCTCCATTTTTCCCAGACAATCTTGAAAACATCTTTCTTGTAGTGCTACAGCTATAAAGTCAGAATGAGCACTGTGGCCACTAATGCAATTGCATGTTACTACCTTCACACATTTCATGGCACAAACAAGCTCACAGACCTGCTCTGTACTAACAGAAGCATGCAGCCTCCTAGTGCCAATGCTGTTACCCCAAGAACAAACTTGTCCTCCCTTTTCCCCCCATCTTGGATGAGAGGTGCTTTTCTATATCCCTGGTTAAATCCCTCCCATGTGGCAGTTAAGTGGAAATGAGCTGCTCTACCACTGAGGTGCTTCATTGGGTTGGGGGAAGTAGCAGAACCAAAGCACCAAGATGCTGGTTTTTTACCTAAAACACAGCTCTGCTTCTGGCTTACCTAGTTTAATTTGCTCACAGTGTGACACCTTTTAAAGCAAAACCAAACAAATGAAGCATGCTGTACTGAAGAAATGATTTCAAAGACACAGCTCAACTGTGACAGCCCATGCTATTTCTTTGGCTAGTACATACTGCTTTTACTGATTTGGCTTTGCACACAGCTGACACAGTGGCACTATCAGGACAGTGTTAAATGGAAAGAAGTCAGAGATACTAATCCCAAGCATACTAAATATCCTGAAGTACAACCAATGACTTCTCTGTAAGCGCCCCAAAAGAAATTTGAACTCTATACTGTCCCTGAAGAACTGCTAAATGGGCTTAGATTTTGGGATATTTTACATTTAATCCTAGTAGAAAGGCCCAGAAGCAAAAGGGAACTGGTTTTGAGTACAGATAAATGGTTTTCTTAGCTGTCTTGATGTTAGCCTCAAAACCTGACATAAAAAGCAACAGAATTTGGTATTCTTGCCCAGCCAAACTGAAATGGGACTGCAATGAGGATATCAAAAATAGGTATCATGTTCCAGGATGCTTCATGTTTTGCATTGTGGAACAAGAGTTTTCTTGCAAGGAACTTAACACAGAATTTGTAAGTAAAGCAAAATTCTTTTCTAATCCTGAGGCTAAGAAACCTTTTCTTCTATAAAAAACTCAGAGAGAAATGTAAGGGTCCGCTGGAATGTGTTGGGAAAAGAAAAAAAAAAAAAAAGTCCGTTTTAAAAACCACAGTCAGATTTGATTAGAAAACACTTAGGCACAGACTTACCTTTTCAACAAGTGCTTAAGTAACACGAAAGTCAGCAGTTGATGCTTAAATTCACATTAATAATTTTGATAACATAGGCCTGTAAAGTTACACATTTTAAAACAAGTTTGTCCATTTTCCACCCCTTTCTCTAGCCTAAA